CAGGCAGGGAGGTGGGGGGGTGCAGCGAGAGATCAGGCAGGGTGTTGGGGGTTGCAGCGAGAGATCGGAGGGATGGGGTGGGGTGCAGCGAGAGATCAGGGAGGGAGGTGGGGGGTGCAGTGAGAGACCAGGGAGGAAGGCACGTGGAGGGCTTAGGTGGCAGGAGCAGAGGGAGGGTGTGGGAGCCCGCGTGCCCTTCTGTGGTGCCCCCAGCATCCCACACAGTCCCATCCATGTAGACAGCCCTCTCTGAGAACAGCAAGGGAAGAGAAACCTTGGGAAACAGCCCAGAACTTTTTCAAGGAAAAAATTATCGCTTGGTGCTTTAGGCAGAGCCTTCATTTTTCTGACTAGTTCCAAAAAGAGACACTGAGGCCCTGAGCCAGGGTGGCCTCTTCTCCAAATACGAGGTTGCAGGTTCAGAGCCAGGAAGGCCTCTCCAGGGGCCTGAACCTGCACATTTTTCTTTTTAAAGAGCACATTAAGCTTCTTATAGATTCTCCAAGCTCCAATCGGCCCCAAACCCTCACAAAAATTGAAGCTTATGAAATCTCTTGAGCAAGGAGCCAGATTCACATTTGTGTGTGTGTGCGCGTGCATGCGTGCGTGTGGGGGGGGAGTGACAGGGAGGAGGTACCGACACACATGGAAGGTGGGGGTTCAGAGGTAGGCAGGGGTCTAGGTGTGCTGCTGAGAAGGTGCCGTGTGTGTGGCGTGCATGTGGTGTGCGTGTGAGAGAGAGCGTGCGTGCATGCAGTGGTGTCCAGAATGCGCCTGGGACTCAGTAATTCCTCCCACCCTCCCCCACACGCCTCCATTCCCCCTTCCTCCAGGTCCTGAGCTGTGTCAACCCAGACAATGCCAACAGCCCCGAGGTCCCAGTGAAGATCCTCAACTGCGACACCATTACTCAGGTCAAGGAGAAGATTCTGGACGCCATCTTTAAGAATGTTCCCTGCTCCCACCGGCCCAAGGCTGCAGATATGGACCTGGGTGAGTAGGCTGCCCAGCCAGGGGCTGCCCTGGGACTGGTCAGAAGCACCTTCTACGGACCAGTGGAGCTAGGGTGCAGGGAGCAGACATGCTCAGGTCCCAGGAGCCCAGGGAAGCCTGCCTCCATGGCTGTTAGTGAGCGCTAGGCAGAGAGGGGACTCCGTCGGCTGGCCGCACCACCACCTCTGGGGGCTTTCTGGAGTAGCCAAGGGGTGTCCTCTGTGCACGAAGGGGATTCAGGCTGAGTCTGTGTGGTCCAAGGTCCCGCCACCACCATTGTTAGCCCCCGAGCTCTTCCCTTCCCCTCTGTTCTGTGCAAGTCATTTTTGCTGACAACCTAAGGCAGGAGGGATCTGGGTCAGTGATGGAGGATGGAGAGAAAGAAGAGAGAAAAATGAGAGAGGATAGCCTGCTGGGGAGCAGGATGACATTTTATGCGAATGTTCCATGAATAGATTGCATAGCCTATATAAACAAGGGCACGCCACTTAGGGCCAGCTGTCCTTAGATCCGGTTTAGGTTGGCCTCAGTGCTTAATGAGACACTGTCCTGGGGAAATCCTAGTGGGGAGCTCCGAGCTCCAAAGGGGCCAGGCTGAAGAGAGGCAGTGTGTCATCGTGGCTCAGCGTCACACCTGGATTTGAGTCCTGACACAGCAAAGTCCCAGCTGTGTGACCTTGGTCCAGTTACTTACCCTTTCTGTGCCTTAGTGTCTTTACCTGTATGACAGACTTATAATAGTAGCGCGCACCTCGTTGTAAGAAAGAAACGAGATGAGGCGTGTAAAAGCCTCTTGACGCAGTGCCTGGCCCCTAGCACACACTCACTTAGCCTTGGCCACTGTCACTACTGCTCGGGAGAAGAACGCTGATAAGGAGACAGCGTGTGTCTGTTTGTTGATCCCGGGCGTGGGGAGAAAGCACTGATGTGTATGTGCTTGTGTCTGGAGATTTGTGGCAATGGAGGGGTGGGAGGACCTCCAGGGGCCCCTAATCCATCCCTCGGGCCTCTAAGCTGCCTTCAGCTAAGCCATCCAAGACAGATGAGCATCTACTGTTTTCTAACATCCAAAGGGAATCTTCATCCCCTCCCGCTGCGCCGCCCACTTCCCCCCAAATTCTGATGCCTGAAGACTCAGGATCGGGAAGTTCGCTAACCCACCTCAACTCTTTCTGCTCCCTTTGACCACCTCTCCTCTTGCTCGGCCCCTGGTGGGCTGTGTTCGGCACCGTGCCCAGGGCTCTGACGCCCGGGGAGAGAGACTGGGCGAGCACGTGCTCTCCTTCCCCTGGGAGGCGGCCCTGCTTGTGCTGCGTCTGGGACCAGGAGGAGGCCTGTGTGAGAGTCGGGGGGGGGGCGGGGGGCGAGCATGTCCACCTGCACGTCCCAGCGCACCGGGCACTCAGGTCGGAGGGAGCGCTCGTGTCTGCATGTGGGCGATCTGCTGCCAGGAAGATCCCACACACCGACGTGGGGAAGCCTCCTGTTGCAGAACCAGTGCAAGGGGACAGGGCTACCAGGAAGGAAGACTCCCACCTTCCCCACCCCCAAACAACTAAGGGGGTTGTTCCATGACGGGTTTCCCGGGGAAAGCTGAGCTCACGGGGGGTGGCCAGGTAGCTCCCCAGTCCCTCTGTCTGTGTGTGAGAGCCACGTCAGTGTGCATGCTCGGCTTCTCAGCGTCCTTCTCTGCACAGTGGGCAGGGGAATAACCTGTCATAGTGGGGCCAAGAGGAGGAACCGTTATAAAAACCTTCGTGGGGAAGGTGGGTTTGGAAAGATGGTACTAGAACACAGGAAGAGCTCCTGTGTGCAGGTGCATATTGGACCATTGCTTCTCTTGCTCGGGAATGGGGTGACTCCCCAGGAGGGAGAGCGGCAGGTGGCCTCGTGAGCCTCCACCTGAAGCATGGAGACGGAGTTTTTGCACCTGAATGCCTTCTCTTCCTTACCAGAAAAGGGCAGATGGTGGTAAAGAACACTCCAGCCTGTGGTGGTCCCAACGCTTCCTGGATCTTAGAGAGGGTGGGAGCCAACGTTCTTCCGTGTCCTCTCAACCCCAAGCTAAGGGGGCACCCTCTGGAAGCGTATTCAGGGACCACACTCTCCGCACCTGCTTGATTTCCTGGAGGGAGACTTTGTGGCTGATACCTGCTGCTCAGGATCACCCTCCCCGCCTGGGAACTGCACACCCTGAGCTTGGGAGGGGAAGGGGTTGCTTCTTAGCTTTAGAAAATTGCTCCCTTAAAAGGTCTAGGGGTGCAAGCCCAGCCCAGCAGATGGTGAATGAAAAGATGGAAAGCACCCCACGGCCGTAGTGGTGAACCATTTGCAGCAGAAGGGGCCGCCTCGGAGCAGCGGGGGTACTCCCTGCCTTCCCCCAAGGGAAGGGGCCTGAGCGGGGCTGTACGCTCTTGATCTCCAGGGTGCTCCGGTCAGGGAGAGGCCGCCTGCTGCCCAGCAGGGGCTCCACGTCCCCTGATGCACTGCCCACCACGGCTGCCCGCATTTCAGCTCGCCAGAGACCACAGGGGCACCTGTCCCAGAGGAGGACCCAGGGTCTACCCTGGAGGGACGAGGCCTCCGACAGCAAGGACAGATAAGGCGAGGGGAGCCAAAGACGCATTCAGAGCCTCAGGGCCCCATCCTACTGGGGAAGGAGCGCTATGCTGAACTCCTCATAAAGGCCTCCCATGGTGGGTGCTCTTCTGAGGAATGTCCTTTTTTCTATTAGATCCAGGGCTTGGAGTTGCCCCAAAAGCTCTGGCCTTCTTTCTACCAAAGCCAGATTGCATAACAAGGAAATGGGGCCTCCTCCGAGACCCAAATGCTTTTTCCACATGATTCAACTCAGCCTCGTGGCCCCCAAGGGGAGAAAGAAGCAAGGCAAGTTTTTCCCATCATGTAGGTGATAGTGCTTTAAAACCCTAAAAGCAGTTTACAAATGTAAGGTGTGATGATTATCAAAAATTAATCTATGCCAAAGGGACAGAACATGAAGCACACAGGCCTGGAAAGGACTCAGCCACATGCCTTGGACAGAGGCAAGAGAGCCAGGCATCCTCCTTTCGTTCCCCCTTCCCCTACCTGAGGGCATTGGGCAAAGGTTGCCTTCCCCCTCCTGATGTTGGCCCCTGGCAAAGCAAGGACACTTGTCCCAGAACAGCTCAGAAGGGAGCAAACACATTTTAAGTCACCCCTGTAATTGTCCTAAGTAAATCCAGCCCCAAACACCTCCTCCTGCCTTTCATCATCACCGTGGCCCCCAGCCCAGCCTGGCCCCTCATCTATTCATTGCTCCTTGGACTGAAGTTCTCTCCCCTCCCTACCCCCACCTCCACCCACCCTTTCACCAGACTTTCCCAGGTGTTAAGCAGCGAAGATAGGGAATGTATTAGTCAGGGTTCTCCAGAGAAACAGAACCAATAGAATGTGCAGAGAGAGAGAGATTTATTTTAAGGAATTGCTCATGTGATTATGGAGTCTTAGTCCATTTGGGCTGCTGTAGCATGATACCATAGACTGCACAGAAATTTCTCACAGTTCTGGAGGCTGGGAAGTCCAAGATCCAGGTGCTGGGAGACTTAGTGTCTGGTGAAGATTGCTTCCTGGTTCACAGGTGGTGCCTTCTTCCTGTGTCCTCACCTGGCAGAAGGAACAAGGGAGTCTTGGGGGTCCCTCTTATAGCCACTAATTCTGTTCAGGAGGGCTCCACCCTCATGACCTTCGATCTCACAAAGACCCCGTTTCCAAATCCCTTCACGTTGGGGATTAGGATTTCAACATAGGAGTTCTGGTGGGACACAAACATTCAGTCTCTGGCAAAAGGTCCGGCCAAGTTCAAAACCTGCAGGTAGGCTGGCAGGCTGGAGACCCAAGGAGGAGCCTGTGTTGCAGGTCAAGTCTGAAGGCTTTCTGCAGGCAGAATTCCCTCTTGCTCAGGGGAGGTCGGTCTTTTCTCCTCTTCAGCCTTCAGCTCACCGGGTGAGGCCCACCTACATTATGGAGGGCAATTCACTTTACTCAAAGTCCACCAATTGAAGCGTTAATCTCATCTAAGAACAACCTCACAGAAACATCCAGAATAATGTCTGAGCACATAACTGGATGCCTAGGCCCAGCCAAGTTGACACATCAAATTAACCAGCACAAGAGCCAAAGTGAAGGACACAAGGCCTGCTTTCATTTCAGTCTGTTGGAATCTAGGGAAGGAAAGACACCCCAGGGCAGGCACTGGGGGCCGCGCTGGGTCAGGGGCAACCTCAGGAGCACTCAAAGCACAGTGGCGACAGTACCCCACTCTTTTATACAGGAGGCTGTCCTCAACCCGTTTATGTCCCTTTCCACCTGCAGGTATTGGGTCTAAGTACCCCCCTGCAGCACTAAACTCTTCAACCGATGTATCGTAAGAGCCTACCTCGGGGTAAGCTCTGTGCCAGGCATGGGGGTACCAGTGTGAGCAGGACGAGTTCCTCATTTCTCTGCACGGCACCCCTCCCTCTGAGCCAGGGGACTCTGTGTGAGCAAAGAGGACATCACTGATGCTGGTCTGTTCCACTGCGCAGGAGAATCTGCCGCTCAGAGAGGCACAGTGCATGGGCCCTGGTCACACAGCAGGAAGGTGGAGAGAACACCCATGTCCTCCCCATACAGTCTCCCCATGAGCCTTGGCCTCCGGAGATTCCTCTGGTTTAAGGCAAAATGCTCTCTCAATAGCCCCTGGAACTTGGCCACCCCCTCTGTCTTGCCGTTCAGGGTTCAAGTCATGCTGAAAGGATATATATATTTTTTTCTTTCAAATAAGTAATTCCTGCATGCAATAAAAAGATACAGTATCTTCCGAAGGAAATATAAAGAGTTCACAGCAGCTGTCTCCCCAGTTTGCATTTTCCGCTGCACCTGATGGGAAGGACAGATAAAGAAAATGGGATTTTTTTTTCCCTCTCTTTCTTCTGTCACCTTCCTCTCTCCCCAGAAGGTGGAAGTATAACAAATTGGGT